AAAAAAAAAAGGGAATTGAAGAAGAACGAGGCTAGAGGCAGAGAACTCAAGAAGCTTTCATAATTGTCTAAATAAGACCAGATGAGGTCTTCACTGAAGGTGAACATGGGAGAGGAGAGTAGTGTGAGTGTACAAATTCAGGAAATATTTGAGAGCTAGAATCAAATGGATTTAATTTACTCCCCAGTTGGATTTGGGAAGTGAAGGGGAGAGGGATTTATAGGGACTACTAGGTTACAAATTGGTAGCTGAGTGGAGGGTTGTGCCCTTCACTGACCCAAAGGTGCTTGTTTGTGAGAGAAGATGAAGATTTTAGTTTTACACATACTGAGTGTGTTCTGGGGGCCTCCAACTGGACATATCCAGTGGGCAGTCAGAAATAGCATTTTAGAGGTTAGAACAGAAGTTAAAAATTGGAAATACAGGTTGTAGTCATTTCTGTTTGTTGCTAGTGAGGCCGTAGAAATCAGTGGGATTGGGTGGGGCACAGTGACTCATGCCTGTAATTCTAGCCTTCTGGGAGGCCAAGGCAGGAGGATCCCTTGAGTTTAGGAGTTGAGACCAGGCTGAACAAGAGCAGGATCCCATCTCAACCAAAAAGTGAAAAATTAGTCAGGTGTTGTGGTGAGTGCCTGTAGTCCCAGCTACTTGGGAGACTGAGGCAGGAGGATTGCTTGAACTCAATAGTTCGAGGTATGACACCATGGCACTCTACCCAGGGTACTGAGTAAGAATCTGTCTCAACACCAAAAACAAAAAAAAATGTGTGATTGTTCTATGCTAATTTGATTTTTTTTTTTTTTTTTTAAGAGACAGAGTCTCACTTTATCGCCCTCCGTAGAGTGCTATGGCGTCACAGTTCACAGCAGCCTCCAACTCCTGGGCTTTAGGTGATTCTCTTGCCTCAGCCTCCCGAGTAGCTGGGACTATAGGCGCCCGCCACAATGCCCAGCTATTTTTGTTGTAGTTTGGCTGGGGCCGGGTTCAAACCCGCCACCCTTGGTATCGGGCTAGTGCCCTACTCACTGAGCCACAGGTGCTGCCTGCTAATTGGATTATTATTTTTTTTTAAGAGACAGAGTCTCACTTTGTCACCTTGGTAGAGTGCTGTGGTGTCACAGTTCACAGCAACCTCCAGCTCTTGGGCTTAGGCGATTCTCTTGCCTCAG